ATGATTGAGACAGTAACCAGGGACAAGGCAGATAAAGCGCCTGGCTCACTGGAGACAACAAACAAAAGGAAGTCGGAGCTGCTGTTATTATTTCCCTCTGAACCGTACACTTCCCGCATAAAGAAACTAAGACTTGAAGAGTTTATGGAAATGACTCTGACCCCTAAGTCCCCCAAACTAAGCCACGGGGTAGGGGCCGGAGTCCTGACTGCTTCACAGCAGGGAGGCCGAGGCTCAGAGAGGGGAAGGGACTTGCTGGAAGTCACAAAGCAAGGCAGCAAGGTCCGTCTGAACCCCCGAGGTATTGCTTGTAACCCCGGTGCCACATCTCAGAGCAGCTGCTGTTTGTGGGGTGCTTATCCCCAAACCTCACACCCGCCTGTCCCTGCAACAGAGCCAAACCAAGGCCATCCCCTGGGCCCCCTCTTCTCCATCCGCCTTGCTCTGCCCACCTCATAAGGGTCTCGAGGGCTGTTTGGCCTCAGTCTGTCCATCGGCAAAAGGGAGCTGACCACCGCAGAGGTCCAAAAGGGTATGAGGAACAAAAAGGCTCAGTGACCGAGCCGACGTGTGCTCTGTGTTCCCGACTCCCACGCCTGGCCCAAGGGCCTGAAGCACCCAGAGCAGAGCGGACCCTCCCCAGGAGGCCACCAGCTTGCAGGCACAGCTGGTTAGGAGCACAGGCCCCCGCAGGAGCCCATCTCCCTCCAGTCTCTACCATCACTACCGCTAATAACCACATCAATCAGGTTGACCACGTTTCACACCATTACTCGCAGCTCAGCAGGAAGCTACATCTTTTCCCCCTCACCCACCACCTTCGAGAAGGCAAAAGCTTTCCAGAAGGGAAGAGAATGAAACCGACATTTTTCTGAATACCTACTATGTGCACGGCACCTGGCTAACCCCTTTTTACAACTCTGCAAGGTAGGGATGGTGTTCTCTTTGCCGGAGGAAGAAACTGGGGCCCAGAGGAGTGAATGCATGTGTCCAAGGTCACCCAGAGCGGGGACGAGAACGGCCATGGCAGTGATGTATGACTGAGCGCTCACTGGCTCGCAGTGCCAGGCGAGTGCATGAGCCTACTGAAATATTATCATTTTCAGATGAGGAAGCTGAGGCTGGAAGCAGGGAAGAGACCTGCCTGAGGTCACACGCTGCACAAACATGAGCCGTGGACTGGTGCCGGCAGACAGGTGGCTCTCAGCTCAGGCAGTAAAGCGCACACGGCCTGGGTCTGTCACTGGCTAGCTTAGAGACCTCGGGCAAACGTCGTCACCTCTCTGAGCCTCAGTCTCCTCATCTGAAATAGGGGAGAGCGAGAACATCCATCCCGTTGTGCGGAAGAACAATGAAGATAAAAACAGTAAAAACTAACATACCAGGCACTCTGCCAAACGCTTTACATACGTAAGCTCATTTGGTTAAATGAGGTAATGCATATAAAGTGCTTAGCACAGGACTCCAGAAATGGGAGTGATAATGATGATGATGAAGAAATCGATGAGGATTCCTTTGGGCACATCTCCTTGATTCATCTTCTTACAGGAAGAACAGGGTGGCCTGTAAGATTTCAGGAAGGAGATGGACCCGGAAAGAAGAGGAAGTCTGGACAGGGGAGGGAAAAGAGGAGCACCTAAAAATTAGGGAGCAAATAGCATTAAAAAGGTCAAGATAATACACCAAGTAGAACTCGGGAAAGGAAGGGACTCCGGTGTTCTACAGAATGGAACCAGACTGAGACGCCCTGGAACCTCCAGGCCAGCCCAGACATCATCCCACAGTCCCAGATGGGTGGGACTGGCAGGACCCCAGCGACACAGAGCAGTGGTCCTCCCCATTTTACAGATGGAAAAACCAAGGTTTGCAGTGGGGAAAAGGCTTGCCTGAGTTCACAGGATGTTAGTGGCACAGCTGGACTTGAATCCAAGCCTCCTGCCTCTCAGCTCAGAGTCCAACTACCTGCTGCTTCCCACAAAGGAAGAGTACAGGGGGGTACCTAGACATGTTTGGACCACAATTCCAGGAAAGCATCCCATGGTGTATATATTAACATAACAATAAGAAGCTATAGTTTACTGAATGCTCACTCTGTGCTTGGCATGGTGCTAAGTTCATTATATGCATTTACTCCTCACAACAACCCTAAGAATTGGCAACCGTTTATATTATCGCTAACAGATGACAAAACTGTGGCTCAGAGAGGGTAAGCCACTTGCCAAAGGTCACACAGCTAGGAAGTGACAAAGCCAGGACTCGAACCCAGGTCTGTCCTATCAAACTCTAGAGCCCTGTCCGTACACTTGTCCACCTGAACGGTAAAGCCCCCACTTGCTCCTGCTACCCCCCAGGACACACTCACCCTACTCCCTCACCCACAGCAAGTCTATCCCGACTACAGAAGAGTGTCTAGAACTAGCCTGTTTTACTGTAATGATTAAACCCCATTCAAAAGAGGAAAAATGACAGTTCCTCTTCTAAAGTTTGCAGCTGAGAAACATTTAACAGCCTTTTCCTTCTCGGCCTCTTTCCACTGGGTGGGAAAACAGGCTCCCTTCTCTTTAGGATGATGTCAGGCTGGTGGAGTCCAGCCTCCAGGAGTACATGAGAAGCTGTCAGGCAGCAGAGGCTCTTGGGGGTTAGCGTCTGCTGAAGGGACCCACTCTGCAATCTGCCCCGACAGAGCAATAGAGGCAAGAGAGGAATTTCCAAGTCCCTCCTTTAAACACCCCTTTCCCCCAAATTATCTCATGCAACTCCCACAAGTGGCCCGAGGCCACCCAGCCAAGTTGTAGGAGAATCAGAATCCCAGGTCTTGCCTAACTCCAGAGCCCCGTAAGTGGAAGGGCCAAGCTAGAGAGAGCTCTGGAGGCAGGTGAGTGGGAGGCAGGAAGGAGTAAAGACCTCCTGAGGGCCCCCGATTGCTCCGGGCCAGAACTATTTATATTTTATAATAAAGAAGGCAACAGAGTATGCTGGCCAACTGCCTGGCTTCAAAGCCTGGCTCCTAACTATAGAACTTTGGGCAAGTTGTTTTATAGGATCATTATGAGGACTGAATAAGTTAATACATGGAAAAGGGCTAACCAGGGCACCTAACACCTAGTAAGTGCTGCCCAAAGCTAACCACGGTTTGCAGCAGCAGCAGAGAATGGGGCAGACTGCCAACAGGGCTTACCTTTGGGGTGTGGGACTGGGCTCAGAAAGAAATGTACCTTTGTGTTCGGCTCTGTTCGATTATTTATTGAATCATTTTTTACAATAGGTGTCTATTACTTTTTTAAGAATAAAACAAAGTCCTAGTTTAAAACTTAAAAATTAACAAGCAGGAAAAAAAAAATCCTCGGAAAAGTTTCATCATTTCTTGGCATTTTCTATTCCTCAAAGTATATAAAGGATGTTTCGACTGTGAGCCAGGAGTTGCCAAATAACGGATTCATTAATTTATTTTACAAATATTAATGGAGTGCCAGGCACTGTTCCAGCTGCTGGGGATTTAGCTCGAACAAAACAGATCATCTCTGCCCTTCTGGAGCTTCCATTCTACCTGATTTTAATTAATCTGCTCTGCACCCCTCAAGGATGAGCAATTTACAGAGGCGGACCAAGGCGGCCCAGGGAAGGGAAGTCACTTGCCCTGCATCCCACAGCTGGGAGAAGGGCTCCCAATCTTCAGGGCCTGGCTGCTTCTACCACTGCCCAGGAGGGCAAGGCTGCGGATGGCAAGTTTGGGGCTGGCGTCCCCGAGAGGAGAGAAGCAAGATGAATGAGGAGGTGTGCACATCCAGGCTCCAAGCTTCACTCTGCATTACTGTACGCACCTGTGCTGGGGGAGAAGCGTAGCTGCGAGCAACAGTGGAGACCAGACGGTGGAGTTCGGCATCAGTGAGGCTCACAGTCCCCCACCTCACACCCAGCCCTGAGCTCTGCCCACCTGAGTCCCGGTGCACCTCTCTGCCTAGAGGCTCAGCTCAGCTTCAAAACCCCCCTAGTTGTCAGGCCCGAGCTCTAGGATGGGCAGGAGACCCCGGGCTCCCCTTAACCCGCTCCCCAAATTCACCTGCCAGAGCTTGTACTGAAGAGAACTAGTTCTCTTCAGCCTCCAAATTCACTCCACTGGCCTCCCTGAGGCAAGAACCTGAGTTCCCTAAGCTGGGGTGAGGCAGAGTTTCCCCAGATGCTCCCCTCCCCGCCAGGGCACCCAAGGATTCCCCCCACCCCACCCCTGCCCGCGCAGGCAGAGGGGCTGGTCCCCGCCCATGACGCTCAGGTGGAACCCACGGCTGATGGAGAGCCCCTGGCTGCAGTGGCCACAGTCAAAGCAGGGAGGGCGGCCAGCACCCGGTTTGTCAGACTGGCCCAGGACCCGGCAGTTCCTTGTGACCCTCTCCCGAGAGGTGGCTCTCCATTCCCAGGCCTGCCCAGTCAGGAGGGTGAAGGCAGGCAGAAACAGCACAAAGGAGGAGGAGGGAACGGTTCTTGGAGTCTAAGATCCCAACACATAGATGAACGGGGACCAGAAATGGTTAGAGATCCAGAGACACACCAAGGAGAAAGCCGGAGACACACAGAGGAGCAGAGACTTTGTGAGAAACACACGGGCACAGACCCGGAGGAAGGGAGAGCCGCGCAACCGAGGAATCTAGAGGAAAACACGGGGCAGGGACCTCAACGGCTGCAGCGAGGAGCCCGGGACACACCTCCCCGGGCCCCAGCGAGCCACAGTCCCACAGCAGGCCACTCGCAGGGCGCGGGGTGGGCGGGGGAAGCGGGGGGATCGGCGCGCAGGACGCACTCGGGGACCGGGGAGCGCCGGGCGAGGAGCGCACACAAAGAGCCAGCCCGGCCAGCACGAGCAGGCTCCGCCCGTCCGCTCCGTGACTCCGGCCCACCCCCCACCCGGGACTCGCAGCAGACACGCACGGGGACCCACGGCCCACCCGCGCGCCCGGCACCCCGCCCCAACGCGCCCCACCCGGCCCCGGCCGCCCGGCGCTCACCAGCTGCAGGCAGCAGAAGGCGACGAGCGTGCAGCGCCCGCTGCACTTGCCCATGGCTCCGGGGGCCGCGCGGGCCGTCCGCCGCGGCGCCCCTCTAGCTCGGCGGCCGCCGCCTCCTCCGCGCCGCGCGGGCTCCGCGTCCTCCCAGCTGCGCGCCCCGGGCGGCGGGGCCGGGCGCCTAGGGCCGGGCCCGGGGGCGCCGGGTCCTCAGGGCTGGGGCCGGCCGCTCGCGCTCCGAGTCCATGGTCCGTCGGCCCGCGCCGGCTCTGCCGCGCCGCGCCTCCTTTGTCTGGCCGGCCGGCCGCCAGGCGCGCCTCCTGCCCCGGGGCGGCTGGCGCGGAGCGCGGAGCGGGGAGCGCGGGCACCGAGCGCGGCGCGGCGCAGAGCAGCACTGCCCAGCTGGGGCAGCCGCCCGGGCGCTCGGCGGCCGCGGCTTCCCGGCCCCACCACGTGGCTCCGCCGCCGCCGCCGCCGCCGCCGCCGCCGCCGCCGCCACCGGGAGGGAGGGAGGGGCGGGGCGGGGCGGGGCGGCCGCCGGAGCAGAGAGGAGGGGAGAAGGGGTAGGGAAGTGCAGGGTGGAGGGAGAGACCGGGAGTGAATGGGAAGAGCGCAGGCTTGGGGGCTGACGGCCCTGGGCCAGACCCGGACTTCACGGCTCACAGGCTGTGCGACCTTGGGCGCGTCACGCCCCCTCTCTGGGCCTCAGCTTTCTTAGCAAAGTGGGAATAACGTCTGCTTCAGAGTTGCCAAGAGGGTGAAAAGCAGTTGTGCGACTAAAGCACTTAGCCCTGTGCCTGGCCTCCTGAGGGTGCTGGAGCACTCCTACCTCCACCCTGTTTCTAGGGCGCCAGGGTTCCAGCCTTGGCCCTCTCTTTCCACTCTGGTTCCCAGTTCTGCTCCTCATCCCAGCCTCCCTCCTGAGTGTCTGCACATGTTCGTCCTTCCCTCTTTCCTTCTACTGGCATTTACTGAGCCCCGACTGCATACACACCCCTGGGGGACCCGGAATCCAGAGATGAGCACTGCAGCGCTGTTGCAGAACCCGCTGAGCTTCCCAGTCCAGGGGACAGACAAGCTCCCAGAGGTATGAGGATGAGATGCCTGATGGCAGAGACAGAGGTCCTCCCAAAGGGCCGTGGCCAGCCCCTAACCCCCACTGCAGTGGGTAGAGGGAGTCAGAAAGCAGAAGACTGCCTTCTTCCAGATGCCTGGGTGGCTCAGTCGGTTAAACGTCTGCCTTCCGCTCAGATCATGATCGCAGAGTTCTGGGTTCGAGCCCCGCATCCAGCTCCCTGCTCGGCTGGGAACCTGCTGCTCCTCCTTCTTGTGCTCTCTCTTTCTCTCTCAAATAAATAAATAAAATATTTAAAAGAAGGAACAGAAGGGGCGACTGGGTGGCTCAGTCGTTAAGCGTCTGCCTTCTGCTCAGGTCATGATCCCAGTTTCCTGGGATGGAGCCCTGGGTAGGGCTCTCTGCTCAGCAGGAAGCCTGCTTCTCTCTCTCCTTCTCTCACTCCCCCTGCTTGTGTTCCCTCTCTCACTGTGTCTCTCTCTGTCAAAAAAATAAATAAAAAGAAGAAGAAGAAGACTGCCTTCTTAAAAACACCCTGAAAAGCACTCAAACTTCCAAACACATGCCAAATCCATTTCATCCTCCCTACCTCCCTCCTAACTTCCTATAGTCACCTCCGTAGTTCACATCACTCAGGTGGGAATCCCTGTGTCATCCTCCGGGCTTCTCTGTCCCATCTGACCATTCTGTGAATGGTACCTTCTTACTAATATCTATGAAATTCCTACTGTGTGCCAGGCTCCCGGCTAGGGGTAAGGGGATGAACCAGTCTCTATAGCCACTGAGAGAACAGTCCAGCGAGGGACTGTCATTACAACAAGAAAACATACACATAAATACATAATGACAGACTCTGATGAGTGCTCTCAAGGACAATAAAGGGTAAAAGAGAGCATAAGGGGGCACATTCCAGGTGTGGAGACCAGGAAGGGCCCCCTTGATGAAATGGCGTTAATACTGAGACGACAATAGGAGGGAAGGAGAGGCAGAGGGAGGAATAGTGTTTTGGCAGAAGAAACAGAACATTGCCAACTCTCCCTGCCCTCTCCACTCTAACTAGCCCTTCTGACCCAGAGAGCAGTGTGATGCAGATCCAGACCCGTGGTTCTGCATCCAGACAGCCTGGGTTCCAGTCCCAGCCCTGCCACTTGTATGCTGCTCACATAGTAAGCACTCAAATGCATTATTATGATCTCCTGGGACCAGCTGCGTAATTGGTGGGGTCCGCTGCAAAAGGAAAATGCAAGGCTCCTTGTTAAAAAGCTGAGGATGACAACCCAGTGGAGCATGAAACCAAGCCCAGGGAGGGCCCTGCATGCCTGGGGAGACTGTGTACCCCGGAAGCCAGAAGCCAGCCCATCTTCTCCCCAGACTACTAAAATGATCTCTTCACTGTCCTCTCCCAGCCATTCCTGGGCATGCTGCTGGATATTTTAAAATACACAGGATATTCCTGGAGTTGAAACTACATGTGCTGAGGTTTTCACTTGGAATAACAGGCGGAGGTAACAGTGGGAACTTTCCTCAGCCATGTTTGGTAAGTAACAGCTGTGTCCAACCAGGTGCTGTGAATAGACGGGGGCTTCCAGGAGTCTGTGAAGTCCCTGAAATAATATGCAAAGCTTCATGTGAGCAGATGTGCCTTTTTCTGGGGAGAGGCTCCACGGCTTTCATCAGATTCTTCAAAGAGTCTGTTTCCCACAAAAGAATGAGAACTAGCCCCACGAAGCCTCGGCCCAGATGTAATGGTTCTCTAGCAGATCCTCTTTGGGGCCTCTTCCAGATAGAGCCTCTGCCAGCTTCCTCCATGACCTTAACAATGCAATTCAATAATATTAACAATAATAGCTACCATGTATTGAATGCTTACTCTAGCCGGGTGCTTGACATATATTATCTCATTTAATCCCTATAATAGCAGTGGGGTCCACTGGGGCTGTAACCAGCCCTTGCCAGCTCCCGGCTGGATCACATCATGCCTGGGACACCCTGTTCCAAGGCCTGGCTGAAGCACTCTTAAGTCTGTCGCCCGGGACAAAGGAGGGCCTGTCTGACCTCAGCAGAATTAGCTTTTGGCCCCCGGTCATTCCACTGAGTCCAAGCCTTGCCCCGATGAAGCCACACACACACCATGACATCTTCCAAGCTTTGCATGTTTTGTTCTGTCTAGAGAGTGTCTCCCATCTAAATTCTTAGCCCAAAGAACTGGAAATTTCAAATCTCAGCTCAACTGTCACTTCCTTTCGGAGGCCTTCCTTGACCCCCTGTGACCCAGGGTGGTGGCCCACATTTGGGCTGGCAGGGCTGGCAGTGGTCTGTGCTATCTCCCTCAAAGCTTTTACTGGGATTTACTGTAATTATCCAATTTCGCTGGTTTCCCCCAATAGACTGTGAGCTCTCTGCGGATAGCAACTGGGCCATGTATTATCTCTATATCCCACCGGGCTTGGATGGTGTCAGGAGTCAGCAAATATGGAGTGAATGAATGATCTTCCTGGCCCCGGGCTTCAGCACACCTCATGCCCTCTTCACCCCCTGGAAGTCCAGGGTTCTTAGGGGGAAGGCAGTCTAATTGTAGGAACAGCTTTGAAAGACATGGGGGGAGGGGGTTCGGAGTAGGGGATGACGTCCAGAGGGGCTGGTAATAGCCGGCATGAAGGATGACTAACCCCTCAAGTAGGGAAAGACTGTGGGGCAAACGAAGCAGGATTTAGAAATAAATGACAGAGATGATTCAGAGCATAGCCACGCTTCCTGAGTGAGGAGGCAGAATCATGGTCAGCCCTGGAGAGAGGCACAGGAGGGGCTGCTGTGGGCCTGAGATTTACCAGGTGGTAAGGAGTTCCTCCTTTGCCCTAAACCAAGAAGTCACAGGGTCTGAATCTTCCACCATAGTCCTTCTGAGGGTTAACACTGAGAGTTCCAGAGAAAGTTCACTCATGAGATAGCTGAAATGTTGAGCCTATTAATTTCTCCTTCTTCCCCGGTAGAGGAAGGAACGTGCTCACTAACGATAGTTTCTGGGGTATTTTCTGACACCAACCAATTCTCCAACACTGGCTGGTTGTCCAATGATTCACTTCAGTTCGGACACTGACTACCCAGAAGGAGTGCAGCCCCGCAGCTAAGGGTCAGTCCCGCAAGACCACCCGCACTCCGCAGATTGCCAGTTGCAGTCTCTGGTCACCCCTGCTTCTCACCAACCAGCTCTAAGTCGGGCGTCCGTATGACCTCCTGCTTAGTTTCCATAATTCACTCGTGAACAGCTCACAGAACTCAGGAAGGTACTCGACTTACCTTTACCGGTTTCTTATAAAGGATACAAATGAACAGCCAGATGAAGAGGTAGGTCAGGCGATGCCTGAAAGGGTCCCGGACACTTCTCTCTCTGTGGGGTTGGGGTGTACAACACTTCCAGGGTTCACCAGCCTGGAAGCTGCTCTGGATCTCATTGCTCAAGAGATTTTATAGAGTTCAGTCCGCAGGGCCTCCTCAACCAGGTCTTCCCAGAGATGAGTGCGAGCAGCTGAAAGTTTCCCCTCTTATCACTCGGTCTGTCTGGTGACCAGCCCCATCCTGAGTCTGTTGGGAGTCCTATCCTAAGGTCCCCTCCTAAGTCCCCTCATTAGAAAAAATACAGATGTGATCCAAGGGGACTCAGAAATAACAAAAGGCAATCCTATCACTGAGGAAATTCCAGGAGTTTTAGGAGATCTCAGAAATGGAGACAAAGACCAAATATATTTTATATGATATCACAATAGCTTACGTCTCTTAAGCATTCTGGGTCCTGTTCTGAGTGATTTTCTCTGCAGTAACTCATCAAACCTCCCAACACACCTTTAAGGTAGGTGCTATCATCATCATCATCCCCTTTTTCCAGATGGGGAAACTGAGGCTCAGAGAGGTTGGAGCACTTGTCCAGGGTCACACACACAACAGGGACATGGCAGAATCAAGATTTGTCCCCAGGCAGAACTACTTGACCTGTAATATTCCTGTTTCGTTCCTTGCGTTTTCAAGCTTTTCTTTTTTACAGAACCTGTTCTTCCAAAGAAATCATACATTTCTAAAACAACAAAGTGGAACTGCTCTGGTGTGTTTGGGGAAAGAGCATCAGCAGCCTGCTCTGTCGGTCTATCCTGACATCCTGCGAAGGCCTCCAAATCAGCACCTCAATCCAAGGTCTCTCAGGGACAACGTGGGAAGACTGCTGGCCTGGATGAGCTTCAAGGGGCCTTTTTGGAAGAGGGGAGAGACAAAGAAGGGGAGAACCTGAAGGGCAGAGGGGTTGTGTGAATTCTGTTAAGCCACACAGCACATTAAGAGAGCTGGATCTCAAGACCTCTGGGTCAGGTCCATGACTGTGCCAGGCACTGCCCTAGGAGCTCT